CCTATAGTGAAAGATAACAGGAAGAAATGATGTCTGAATAAAAATAACCCAATGCCTAAGTACCATGGTAACAGAGACTCTATAAATGCTAAGTAGATTGATGTGAGGTCAAATATAACTTGTGATTCCATCACCAGGGAACACTGACAGGAAGTAATGAAGATATTGAGGAGAGGTCCAGGGGGAGCTTTCAGAAAACAGACCAATACAGACCTTGGGAATTAAGCCAAACCAAGCCAGAGACAAATGGATTTGTGAGTAGGGTTAGCAAGAACCATCATGTTAGTTCAGGTCTACGATCTATCCCATAGTTAGGACCAAAGGGATGACTTGGGGCTGAACCTGGTAGTCCCCCTTCTTGACATCATCCTCAAAAGGGAAAGATGTCCAGTTGTGGTGCCCGGGGTTAAGAAAATGGATCCATGAGTTGCTTGAGGCAAAGTCTGATGCTCAAGAACCATGTTGAAGAGGCAGTCCTATGGTGTATCAGTCACATTCATAAGTTTAGTTACTACACTAATGGACCTTGCAGAAGGAGATACTTGGCTCTGCCAACAAATAGAAAGAGTGGCTTTTAATTATTTTACAGCATGATTTATTGGAAAAGGCAGCCAGGTGGAATGGATAAAGAGCTGGCCTTGGACTTAGGAACATCTGGGTTGAAGTCCTGTCTCTGACAACTGGTTGTGTGACCCTGGGCAAAGTCAATTAACTTCTTAGTGCCCCAGGCAGCTCTCTAAGACTACAAATTGCAGAGGATAGTGCCAGTTTGCATTGGTAGGAGCTTCCCATACTGATGAAATCACAGGTCAGATTAAAAAAAAAATCAAAAGATTTATCTGACTAATGCAGTTGGATTTTTCTAAATATAACAAGAGATGTAGACTCTTTAAACAAAGTAGGTGCTCAGTAAATGCATGCTGAGTGAATGCATTTGCAATAATGTGTAGGATCACTGAACACTTAAACAAACATTACCTGTTGGGGAAATGGCGACGTGGTTTACGTAAAGGAAAATCATGGCTTACTCAAGTGCAGGAGTTCTATGAGTCAACAAATAAGCAAATGGACAAGAGACAGAATTTACTTTGATTTTGGAAACATTAAAAAAATTCCACACTGATGGCTATTTTTTAAACCAGTTACTATGGGTTTGGAGAAACCTTTATCACAGACAGGAAATTAGCTTGAAGACTTGGAACATTCTGAATTGTAAACATTGTGACCTGGGAAAGTTTATTTTTAGGCAGTTCAGTGAGTCCTGATCTTGGAAGACCTGAGTTCAAATCTTGCCTCAAACACACTAGCTGTGTGACCCTGAGCAAGTCCCTTACCCTCGCTCAGCTTCAGTTTCCTCAGCTATAAAATGGGGATAATAAAAGCACCTTGATAACATACAGGGTTATTGTCAGGACCAAGTAAGATAGTATATGCAAAGCACTTTGTAAACCTTAAAGCGTTATATAAATGGTAGTTGTGAGGCCCCTAGGTGGTGTAGTGGATAGAGCACTGGGCCTAGAGTCAGGAAGACCTGAATTCAAATCCAGCCTCAGACACTTACTAGTTGTGTGACCCTGGGCAAGTCACTTAACCCTGTTTGCCTCAGTTTCCTCCTCTATAAAATGAGCTGGAGAAGGAAATAGCAAATCACTCCAGTAACTTTGCCAAAGAGTCAGATATGACTGAAAAAAATGACTGAACAATGAAAAATGGTAATTATTACTACTACCACCATCACCACTACTCCTATTCCTCTCCTATTACTGATTGCTACTACTACTAAATCTCTCTTGGCTTCACTTTCCTTAAATTTAAGAAGAATGGACTAGATCGGATATGCAGGCTGTATGTGGCCCACAACACCCCCAAGTGAACTAGTACCAGATTGAGATGTAATTGGAAAATATTTAACAAAAATAAAAATAAAAACACAGTCAATATGCAACTGGTGGGGATCCTTATAATGATTTAGTAGCCCCGATTTCTATTTGGGCAGCTAGGTGGTACAGTGGATAGAGGACTGGGCAGAGAGACAGGAAGATCTGAGTTCAAATTTGGCTTTAGCTGTGTGACCCTGGGCAAGTCACTTAACCCTGTTTGCCTCAGTTTCTTCATCTATAAAATGAACTGGAGAAGGAAATGGCAAACCACTTCAATATCTCTGCCAAGAAAACCCCAAATGGGGTCACAGAGAGTAGGTCATGACTCAACAACAACAACAACAAATTCTATTTGAGTTTGGAACCACTGAATGAGACTTTCTAAGGTTTCTTCAAGATGTAACATTAATACTACCCAGTAGCTTATGTTTCCTTAGGTATTAAGTGCTCCTACTTTAAAAAAAAAACTATCAAAGCTTCATTACATTCATAGTTAAGACCCACCCCAAGATAGAGCTCTTGGTGGTCACAATGTTTACAATTCAGAATGGTCCAAGTCTTCAAGCTTCCTTGACTCCTGAACTTAGTTTCTGGACAGGAGAGAAACAGAATAGCCGTTTGAAACCTGTTTGAAATCTGCCTCACCACTGTCTTGCTCAGTGTTGCTTGGGTTGTTTAATCTTGAGTGGATCACCAGGATACTGGCTGTTTTCATGGTCTCCCACTACTCTTTCTCTTTATCTAGCCTTCCCTGATCAACCTGATCAGTTATGAGGAGCCGGGGGTTGGTCCCACTGAGTATTCAGCTGCCGCGGCCACAATAATAGTTTCCTATCTAGAGTTCCCCGAAACACTTAGGTCAACCTAGTGTAGATTGAATGCTATCTTGTCACTGAACCTTTAATGACTGCTAGCTGAGGAATTCTCTCTGTGATCTCTACACTAGGGGTTCTTAACTCTTTTTGTGTCATAGATGGGCCCCTTCTAAGAATATTTTTTTAAATCATAATTTAAGGAAATGCTAAGTTTCAGTTGGATGTTCATGAAAATCAAGATGAATTTTTTTTTCTCATTCAAGATCATCGGCCCCTTGAAATTTATTCACAGGTCGGTGGACCCCAGGTAAAGAACCATTGCTTGTCACAAAGCTAGACATTTTCTCACCTTCCTCTTGGGTGATTACCATTCCATAAGAAACTGTGAGAAATGATTCATTTGGACACCCACTCTATTCCAGTCAGTATTAATCAGTTTTCTATATTCTATCAGTTTTTATCTATATTCGATGTTTCTATCAGTTTCTAAGTTCTGTACTTTAGGCCCCAGAACTGTGAGCTGCAGACTGTAAGTTCGTTTACTCAATCATAAGAAGCTAGCTGGAGAATCTCTATCCCTATTTTTACTTGTTTTGGTGACCAATCCCTGCATGGCAGAGGTAACTCAATTACATGGAAAATCCTCCAACTTATTTTTGTACCTCTGGACCACTCTCTGTTGGCCAACATGAGCAGGTGACCATCTTCTGACCATCTTCTGACCACTTAGTCAGTGGAGATGCCCCATGCTTTGCCCAACTGGAGACTCCCCTGCTACCATTTCTAGCTAATGCATCATTTTTGGGCCCACAGAGCAAGGTCTATCAACCAATGGGATTCTGTATTTTGTGTGGCCCCTTTAGAGTGTTCAGGTATCAAATCTGGTATCAATTCAATTCAATATACATTGATAAATCATCTTTATGTAAGGTATTGTTTTAAGTAAGGGAGATACAAAGACAAAAACACAGTAGTTCCTGACCTCAAGGGCTTTACATTCATTCTACTGTACTGTAGTGATATAATATGTACACAGAGAAGTCAATACAAAACATATAACACACTCTTAGTTCAAATTAAGTTTATGGTCAAACGAAACCCCCAGATTTTTTCCAAACTGCTATTAGTTTTCCTATCTGGTAGTTCTGTGATTGGTTTGTTAAACTGAATATAAGGGTGTACATTTTTCACAGTCAAATTTCATGGGTCTGGCTCCAGCCCAGCATTTCAGACTGTTGAGATCATTTTGAATCTTGATTTTGTTGTCTATCACATTAGTTCTGCCTCCCAGCCTTGGGTCATCGGCAAATGTAACGAGCATGCTTTCTGTGTCCTCATCTAAGTCATTGATAAAAATGTTGAACAGGAGAGAGCCAAAGAGAGCACGATGACACTGCAAAAGATCTCACCAACGTCACATCGACAAGTCAACGCTGCTTGGAAATGAATGTTCGACTACCTAAAAATGCATTTAACGACGTTATTATCCTTTTCATGTTTTACTCTGTTGCATACAAAGAAGTCATGGGAATTTTTATCAAGTATTTTGCTGAAATATAGATACACCACTATATCTATGACATTTCCCTTGTCACCCATCAAAAAAGTTGGGCATGATTTTGCTCTTAGTGAATCCATGTTTGTACCAATGATGACCACATTCTTTTCTATATAATGAAGAGGATGCTGATGCTGGTGCTGGTGATGGTTGCAATGATAGGAGATGTTTGTGTAAGTGCTTTAATGTTTGAAAAGCACTTTACATATATTACCTCATTTGAGGTTCACAACAACCCTATGATGTAAATAGTAAAGGTTGTATTATACTGTATTTCCTGAGCACTCAGTCCATAACTCCTCATTCTTCTTGTTCCAAAACAGAACTGATGGAATAAAGTGTTGGATTTGAAGATGGGGGAATTAGGTTGTGTGGGTCATGTATGACCTTGGGCAAATTACCTAACCTTTCTGGGCTTCAGTTGCTTTGATTCCCCTTCCAGCTCTGAATCTATCATTCTGTAGCTTTAAAAAAAATGCTATTTGAGTCATCACTAGCATTTTTTAGTCGTTTAAACATTTCCAAACTCATTTCAGTTCGTCCTGGGCGTTAGACTTTGTAAACACAATTCTTATAGATTTGCATGACTTTTCTGTCTTTGTGTTTTTGTACTTGTCCTTTTCATATCTGAACTCATTCAAGAGCTCATATTTTAATTGAATTGGAACCAAATTAGGCTCAGACTTGAAGTTTTTTTTTTAAAATGCTTCTCCAGATCACACCATGTATTGAATACAAACCACATACCATTCTGTTGGTGAAGTTGCTGAAGTTCTTCACCAAAATCTCTTTGATCATTTGTGGCTCATGCACCACAATGTACATCCGACGGCCAAGATAGTACCTGGGAGAAAGAAATCAGATGATGATAGCTTTAGATCAATAGATCTCAGGCTGGGAGTCATGACCACCTTTAGGGGTAGAGGAGAAAAAGGAAAGGGGCTGGTACCCAATGGTCACCAAGTACATATTCCACTCATCTTGAGTGCATCAACCAGGCTAACACACACACACACACACACACACACACACATATATATATATATGTTTTCCTTAACCAGAAAAAAATTTATTGGGTATGTTCCATTGATGAGATTAAGGTCAGGAATATTGTCGTTGGTACAGTGGAATGAATCTTGGATTTAGGGTCAGAGGCTCTGGGTTCAAATCCTAGCTCTATCATTTATTACCTGAGTGACCTTGAGGGAGTCACTGCATTTCTCTGGACCTAAGTCTCCTCAACCACAAAATGAGGGGATCAGCCTAATGACCTCTAAGGTCCTTTATAGTAATCAATTCATGAGGCTACGAAGTGTCTAAACATGCTGCTTAACAGTGAGACTGTCTACAAAATAATACCTTGATTAGACAGAGGAGTTGGCTAGCAAGAGGAAAACTCTAGGGTTTATGGGAAAACCCAATGAAGACAGCCCCCAAGTGCCATTAAATATATCTAGCTTTTAATTTACTTAGTTAATAAAACTGATTCTCTACCCACCCCAGGGAAACAGGTAGAGGTATACTATAAACCAATCCGTGTATGTATATGAATATATATGTATATGTATGTATGTATGTGTCTCATAACAATAAAAAGAGTAATTAAGAGATTTATTGGAGCGTATAAAAACCTGAATGACACTGAAGATTCCAATTCAAGTTATTGTTCTTGGCTCAAATTGAATTCAACAGTGAGTAGATAAATAAAATTAAAGAAAAAACAAATTCAGAACAGATGTTAGGGAAGTAATTTTTTTCACAGCAAGAATCATAAACATGAAGAACAGCTTATAAGGCAAAGTTGCTGGTGCAAAAATGTCAGGTTACTAAATTATTAGTTAGATGGCAGCTAGTGGAGGAGGTAGGGGATCAGGCAGCATTCAAATCATAATTCGGCTGTCCCTAAATGTTAGCGTCCACATGCTATATGGATACTTTGAGCCTAGAGATGTGTATGTGTGTGTGTGTGTGTGTGTGTGTGTGTGTGTTGGCAAGTACAAGCAGCAGCACACGCACACTGTTACAGTCACAGCCTCGTTGTCTCACTTAAATCAGTCTTCCATTCTCAGCATCAAGGTAGGGCTTCAGCTTCTAAGCTAAAGAATGGGTGAAATGTAAGAGATCTAAATTCCAATAATCTCTGTCACTGTATAATGAGTCATGTCTGAGAAAGTAAGTTTGCTTTGTTAAGTCAGGGTCTGGGTGGAGAAATGGGAAGGAATATCACAAAGGTTTTGTTAAATTAATTTTTTTTTTGTGAGTGGAGGAGTCTTTTTTATTGATGTTGGTGGTGTTTTTGGCATTGTGGATCTCCCCAACTCTTCCAGGCTGGAAGCACAAGTTAATCCTCCTACTAATCAACACGAGACTTTTGACCTACTCTGTTTCTAACCCATGTTCCCACCTTCCCTTTAGTTGGTCACACCTCTTTTGGAGGCAAAACCATGATATGGGGTAATTCCAAGTTTCCAACTGTAGAGAGCTGACCTGGTCTCCAATTCAGCTAAATGACCCTCTTAAATACTCCCCTACTCCAAAGTGAATTTGCCAATCTATGTTCATGAAATCACTGGTCTGGTCCCAATTGCTGGCATCCTCTCAAATCAGCTGATACATGGTGGTGAGCAGAGTGTATGGGGGTAGTACTTGTGCTAGCAGCACGGTGGGGCACTTGTGGGGATCTGGGATTTTTGGTGTATTTATCACCCATCTCTTAGTTTATCGCTTTACCAATCTGCTGGTGAAGGGGATCAACCCCACCAATGGTGTGTGTGAGTGTGTGTGTGTGTGTGTGTGTGTGTGTGTGTGTGTGTTCTTTGGCTTGTCTGTGTGGTCCATACTTTTCTTATTGTGTTATTTTAGAACACAGACACACATTACACCAAAAATGGGGAGCTGAGCAATGATGAAGCTATGTTCCAGATTCAGCCAGAGCTGCATATCTGATTGATTATGTCAGCTAAGTTCACTGCTCTGCCCTTGAGGGAGGCCTGTTCCACCACAGGCACCATGACGTCACAGGAGCAAGGACAACAAACTGTAGGAGATGGTGCTGGGAAGGAACATGACAAGTAAAGAGGAAACAGGTCATGTTATCTGTGGAACACTGGTGACTATTGGTCAGGAAGTTTAAGAACAGGCCAGGAAATAGCACTGGGTCGTGGGAAGTGAGGGCCAAAGTCAGAATCAGGAACAGTCAGAGTCAGATTCAGAGTTTAAAACCAAGGTCAGGCTCCTCATGTGCTTTTGGGTCAGGTCATAGGGAATGACACAGGACATTGTTTCAATGGAACTGAACCGATTCTGCCTCCTCTTGAAGTAGCAGCAGGGGCCCTTGGGCCAGGATTAAAGAGCCTTCTATCAAATCCACTTTTGTGGGACTTGCCATGAAGGGCTTTTGAAATGTGTATTTGTGACTTGATTATTGAAGTGGGAAAAGTCCTAGTTAGTGTCAGGGGAGTCTAGAACTCAGACATGGAATGAAAAACACACTTATGTTGCCTTAAATTAGATTTTGTAGAATCGTGTTTGTGACTCTGCACTAAACTTAACAAAAAACACTTCATATTAGGAACTTAGCAAAGGGCCAGTTATCATTTTGATGTTGGTGATTTTGATGTTGGATATAATCAGCTCCTGTTGACTACATGGCAGCCTAGGATGTAAATTTTCATTGGAGGTGCCTAAGTAAAACTTTACCAAAAGGTCACCCCTTCAACAATGTCTTTACCGTTTCCCTTGGGAAACAGGAAATTATTCTTTTCATGGGCCATAAAGCATAGCGGGAGCTTCCAGGATAGAGATGGATATTAGATTCCAATGAATTCATCATCATAGAAACAGGGAGATTGGAGAGAACTCCTTCTTTCCCTCCACTCTGTAACATCCCAAGCTTCCTTGCAAGCTTAGCTCAGGTACCAATTCCTACATAATGTCTTTCCTCATTCAGTGAATTGGGAGAACGTTTTCCCTCTTGAAATTACTTTGAATTCCCGTAATGGAGGGACTGGTCAAGGAGGGAGGGCCATGTCCTTAGAGCCTTCCCCACAAGCTCTGCCTGCCAATCCACATGGAGGCTTGGCGAGCCTGCTTCTGGAAATGCGCGATGGAGTGCTCCCTATATGCTTCAGAGTTTGTAACGATAGCCTCCTATCATATGTTTTGGCAGCTTATCGTGTGGTGACAAAAAGCCTTTTAATTGATCCCTGAGCTGGATATAAGTGGGCATACAAAAGGCATGACAAGTGAGGTAAGAACTCCTATGACAGCTAGGTGGCAAAACCCCCCACTTGGGTGCCATGTCTCCATGAAGGCATGACACCTCTTTCTTCTATGTCCATTGTATTTCTTCTTTCTTGATCTTAGATGCACAAATATAAAAGAATGAGTAGACCAAACTACAATCTTGTGATTTCCAAACAGTCCAAAGAGCTAGCAGAGGTCTGGCAACTGCAGCTGGTAGCAGATTCTTCTAGTAGCAGCATTAGTCAAGTATGGGGAGACAGGCTTGACCCAGCCCAGCCACCAAGATACTGTGTGATGCAAGCAAGGGAGTGTGACTTGTCTATCAGCTATGCCTCACCCAGAAGTGAACTTAGTGGGGACTCTGTGACAAGAGGAAAGGACTCCCAGAGCCAGAAAGAGCCCCCAGTCTTGATTTGGGGAGATGGGTGTTTTATAGCAACCATTTTAAATTTGAGCTTATGGTCCCTAGGTACTGAGGTGCGAAGAGGTGAGAATGTGATCTCTGTTTGGGATGTTTTGTGCCTCAGTGCTAGGTGGCACAATGGAGAGAGCACTGAGCCTGGAGTCAGAAAGACCTGAATTCAAATGCAACCTTAGACCCTTACTGGCTGTGTGACCCTGGGCAAGTCACTTAACTTCTGTTTGCCTCAGTTTCCTCATTTGTAAAATGGGGATAAAAATTAAAAACCTTCAAGGGTGTTGTGAAGATCAGATAAAATAATCATTGTAAAGAGCTTTAGCGCAGTGCCTGGCACATAGTAGATGTTATATAAATGTTAGCTATCATAATCATTATCATAGCGTACTACACTTTGATTGAATGTCAGGAGACCTGAATTTAAGTCCTGACCATGCCACTCAACTCACTGAGTGACCATAGTGGGCTTACATTTTCTGGTGTGTAAAACAAAGTAGATGGGCTGTATGATTCATTTTTAAGGTCCGTCCCTGCTCTAACATTAGGAGAATACCTTACATAGAACCCTATTTTTAGTGGGGCATAATATCACCAGACATAGGCTAGGCTTACATAGCACTAATTAGGTAGCTGTCACTGTAGTAACAGTCAGGCTCCAAACAATCCATTTATTTCAGCTAAGATAACCAAAGTTAGGGGCAGCTAGGAGGTGTAGTGGATAGAGCTCTGGGCCTCGAATCAGGAAGACCTGAGTTCAAATTCCGCCTCAGAGACTTACTAGCTGTGTAACCCTGGGCAAGTCACTTAACCCTGTTGCCTAGACAAAAAAAAAAAAGTGGTCAAGAAGGAGTGCAAAGCAAAGACAGGGGAAATTCTTTTGCTGGAAAAAAGTGTGTCTTACTCCTAATAAAGTCCCTTCCCCAAATTGAACACTGGTGTAATCCTGTTGACTTTCATAGAAATAGGGCAGAGCTACCAAATCCAAGAGTAATTTGGACCACAGGACAAAGAAAAAGAACCAATATTTCCAAGTCTATGTTAGCCTTGGGACTTCTCTTCATAAGAAGAAGAAGCACTGTAAGCAAAGGACTTGGGTTCAAATCCTGACTTCATTCTTTACTTGTGCGATCTTAGACAAGTTACTTAGGCTTCTCAAGCCTCAGTTTCCACATCTGGAAAAA